CTGCTTTTCTGCCTACATATAGGTCCCCATCAATGCTATAATTCAGCCACCCTATGTAAACATAGCGATCAGCCCAAATGCAAAAAATTTCTAACCAGACCTTAACCAGCTTATATTACAGGATTACCAACCCCTCTCCAAAGACGCTAATCTTTATTGAACCTGGAAAATGCCACTGCAGACCAAGGGTTCATCTGAGGACCGCCCCCCATCAATACAAAAATGAACTTCATCGCCCCTAATCACCAGGAGTTACTGAAGACTAACCTTCACCCCTTCCCAAGTCCTCTACCACTTATAAAACAGAAAAGGGAGGAATGTAAGAAAATAGTAATTTATCCTCCATTTGCCCCATGGTCCCAAGCACATAAGCCGGTGAGAATAATGCCTGGGCTTGCCTGGGGCTTGCTGGGCTGACCCCGCCTTATCTCTAAACATCCCGACCCTCCCCCAAGGCAACAGGCCGAGCGGATCCGCCACAATAAAAGGCACCACGCTGCTGCCCTCTCTTTCTCTCTCTGTCTCTGTCTCTGTCGCTGCTCTCTTTTTGTCTCTCTCGCCGCCCTCTCACTGTCTCTGTCCTCTCTCTGTCCCGCTGTCCCCACCCCCCTTCTGGGGCAGCCACTCTCTCCTTCAGATAATAAAGTCTCTTGCGGGGGGGCCCGTGTCTCCTGAGTCGTTCTGGGTAAGGAGGGTCGCGGCGAGATACCCTTTCAGCACCAATGGTTGCTGAAGAGTTTGTTTGTAGACACCCCCCAGATGGATTTTTTTTGAGTCTTTTTTTCTCCTAACAAAGAGGAATTTTAATGGAGATTTCTCTAATTCCTTGCTTTTCCATTTTCAGTAAGAGAGGGGAACACTGCTGCGGGAGCCGGAAGACCAGCAACAAGAGTAGCAGCGGGCGTGCACCATGTGTCTGAACTGGCTCATTCCCGGCGAGAAACAGGTGACTGCGCACAGGGGCCTGGAGATGCTCAAGTCTGGAAAAACGAACACGGAAACACCAACTGTTCGTTTGGCAGGTGGTACCTCAGATAATTTGTGTTTACTTTATAGTTATATATCTCTGTTAGCTTTGCTATCTTTACTTCCATCCAAGAAATTTATAGCATAACCTATTTTCTCAATGTCGTGTTAGGCACTGTAGAAAGATACAGAGACACTGCATTCGATTTTTTAGAACAACAGGCATCTCTTACCTGTGTAATCAACATGAGTCACTGAATTAAATTAAGCCAAGGATGGGGGCCGGTTCCCTGTTCCTGGTGTTAGTCGCCGTGCCTTCTGAGCTTTGGTCCCCCCGGCACCACGTAATAGGCGATTCTTCGCGGCGTGTGCTCATCCGGGCGGCTGTGCTTACACTTTTGGGGGGAAATCACGTGGCCTTTGACCTCGGTGGTGGTGCTGCAGGTGGCAAGGCCCCCTTCCCAGGGCCGCAGGGCTGGGCCTCGGCGCAGGAGTGTGTCCCGGGAGTCTGATCTGGGTTCCCTGAGCAGCCCCAGCTGCTCCGGCCGCGCTGGGCTTCTGGTTTGAGGCCCCTTGGGATATCTGGAGCGGCTTCCTGGGCCCCAGGATTGTGGCCCAGTGGGGATTGCGGCCACTCAAGCCAAATAATTCAAATAATTTGTCTGAGCTCAGCCAAGATCCGGCTAAGAGCCCAGAAGTTGCCGTGGTGAGAGGACGAGGAGGAGACGGGCATAAAGGCCCCAGTGCATCCAGCGGCGCTTGCTGAGGGGAGGAAGAGAGCCGGGTGGCCCAGCTCTTAGCAATGATTTTTCAAGCAGGTGCCTTCAAAGCTCTACTAACGAAAATGAGACTGCAAGACTGTGAGTGGGGAAGGATTGGGGGCAGGGGGCAATGTTGGGAGGGAAGATCAATGAAGAAGAAGGCGGCTAAAAGGTGCTAATTTGCTGTAAGGCAAAATTTTCAAATCTCCAAAACTTTCTAAATATTAAGAATTTTGGTGCACTGGTGAGAGGGCATTGCAACACAGGTGAAAAGGAATTTATTAAAGTTGTCGCTAGAGCTTGGGGGTATAGCTCAGGGGTAGAGCATTTGACTGCAGATCAAGAGGTCCCCGGTTCAAATCCGGGTTCCCCCTGTACATGTTTGGTTTTAGAGCCTACACTACCGAGATTGGCTTCCCCCTTTCGGTAACTGAGAGGGTGCAGCGGTTGCTAAAGAGTTAGGGGAGGTGAACACAAGGTGGCATTGTCCAGGGGTGGATTTGGAGTCTTAAACCTTCTTCGTTCCCTGACCTGTTAAGCCGATGTGTAGGTGGCGCTGCACATGGGATTGTGACCTACAATCTGTGGGCTTTTCCTCCCCAGAGTTTCTGATGAGTGAGGTCTAACTGGGGGTCTGAAAAGCACTGTATTTCAGTAAGCACTTGGCTTCCTTTGCATCCGTCCACATCATAGAAACAGAAGTTCTCACCTTCTTGAAACTGCTGTTCTCGAGCATTCTAAATGGTCTAGGAAAATGTCAGAAGTGTCACGGCCATGAACTGAGGGGAGAAGCTTCAGGGCTGCTGGGAGGGACGGCCATGGGCCTGGGGGAAGGACAAGTGAGCAGGCCTGGGTTTAGTTTGCAGTGCGGCTGTCCCCACCGGCTGACTAAAGATACAGAGGCGTTGAGGCTGCCCAGGGTGCTTGTTAGTTAGTTACACGTTGAGGGAGACAGGGGAGGCAGGGGGCAGCCTGCAGATCAGGGGGTCTCTGGTGCACACCCATGAGCCTCCTACCTCTTTCATTTTAACTTAAGGAAGGAAAGTCTTTGCACCTCTGGGTCCTGTGCAACCGAGTCTTCCTGAAAGGAGGGGAGGACAGACGGTTGAGATGTTAGCGGGAAAACCTCTCTGGCTTCTTGCAGCGCTGGGTGAACTTCTCCAGGGCCGATGCCGTCTCCCTCCGAGATGCTGTGTGTCCGTCCTGTCTGCACCCCATGAGGCCACCTCAGTGGGAGGAGAGTGGGGGCTGTGACTCCTCTTGTGTGCACCCCCAACTTGTGCAGGGCTGTGCCCACGGCCATTGATCCTGAGCTGCTCGTGTAGGGTCTGCACAGAGCCGAGGGTTAAGGAAGGGTGGCTGGGGATCTGATGAGGACACCCTGCCTGCCAGGACCAGCTGCTCCATACAGGGAGGGGCTGTGGCTCCTCCCACCATGAGACCTTGTGCCGCCTGGGGCAGGACCAGGCACCTGCCTGGAAATTCCAGCGGAGGTTGGAGGAAGGCTGGCAGAGGCAGCGTTTTCCGGTCTGTTGTAATGGGGCCCAGGTATTCTTTGTGGAGCACTTAGGTGGGGACCAGGTGTCCCTTGAGGGCGTTTGTATTTCAGGTCAGTAAACCCATGTCACAAACACATGGGGTGGGCTCTGGCCAGTTAATTCCCGTGAGCTGTGTCAGGCTTCAGTGTGTTCATTTACTGCCATGTTTTATTCCACTTGAAATTTTTACTCAGGACAAAGAGAACTCTCCCTCCAGTTGCCCTCTCTGTAGATTCAACAGCAACAGCTAAAAGCAAAAATCTGAAACTAATCTTGCCTAATCCCTGGCAGGTTTTTTTCCCCCAAACAAGGGAATACTAATAGTCAGTAAGAATATAATTGTACCTGCAATCTGCTTGCTCACATAAAACATTCGCCTAAGAGAGAATTAAGATTATGTTGTGAGGAGCAAGACAGTTTCTCTGCAAGTTGATAAGTGTGGAAGGAAGTTGGTGCCTCCTCCAGGAAGCCTCCCGGCTCTTGTCAAAATGCAGGCAGGTGCGATGGGAGACAGAGGATAAGCAAAGCTGTGATGTAAAGTGCCTCCCGAGGTGTCCCAAGTATCTACCCTCCCAAACAATGCAGGGAGGGGAGAAGGGAGTGGGAAGGGGCTCCCAGGGCAGCAAGAGGCCAGTGGAAGGGTTTTATATTCACTCTCAGAAATTGGTTTCAGTCCACTGAAACCCTCCATCCTTCACAGCCCTGCAGACTTTTCTTTATCCCTTTTGCCCTGTGCAGCCGCTCTCCCCTCTCACTGAGGTCAGGGCACTCTGCTCTGGGTGGGGGGATGGTGCATCACACCTATGACGACCTTTCCTTTCTTCTCCAGAGGCTTACAGGGGGATATGATTTCACTAACCCTCATTTCTGGAGGCCCACGTGTAAGTGTATTTTCAAGGTAAGCCATGAGTGTGTGGGAAGCTGTGTTGGTCAGGGCCTTACAATGGGATGGGAAGTGAAAGATGCTGTAGGCTGAGGGCCCACACGAGGGGCCCTGAGGGGGCGGGGAGCCTGGCATGAAGAGCTCCCCCACGGCTGGGGAGGGCTTTGTTAGGCTTCCAGCCTGTGGGATTTTCTTTCTGGGCTTTTGGGACCAGGCTGCCTAGCAGCAGCAAACTCATATGTTCAGAACCATTTATATGGACTTTAAGCAAGACCAGATGAGGGGCACTTGGAAGCAGACCTCCCTCCCGGTCAGCTGCTGCCCAAGGGCCCCTGGTCATTGCACAGCGCCTCCTCTCTGGAAACTGAGGCCCAGGTTCGAGCTGCTTGCTGCTCATCCTTCGCTCCCTGTGTCCTAGCAGGCCTGTCCCCTGCTAAGCAGCCGCCTGGCTCCCCTTGTGTCCCCAGCACCGGCCCTTTCAGCAGATCTTCCTCTGCCCTGCAGGCCTCAGCTGCAGGGAGAGAGGGGCTGGAGAAGCTAGAACTGCTTGCCCGGATTTCGTTTTGGCTCTTCTGATACCTTGGCAGCTGCTGTCATTTGGGAATAAGCTCGTCCTCTGAGCAGTGGGTGGGCATGTTCCTCTGCAGCAGGCACCCGGTGCAAGAGGTGGTTTGGGGCATGTGTTGTGAAGGGGACTCGGGAAAGACTTCGTTTAATCACGATGATGGGACCATGGGGGTCTTCAGGACCATGGAGGGCTGTCAGGATGGCGACCTAATGAACTGCTGGTGGTCGGCTGGGAACATTTACAGTGACTGCGTTTTACAGCCACTATTTGTGTTTTTCCACCTCAGCAGGACCAAAATATCCCCAGAGAGGACTCTGCCATGGGCCAGGTGGGCGCTGGGAGGTGCTCGCCTGGCGTGGACCAAAGCTCCCGGGGCTGCCAGCCACCTTCGGTTTGTCTTGATGTGGAAACGGGAGCCACGGTCAGGGAGTGTGAACGGTCCTGTGACTGGAAAATCGATAGTCGCGAAATGACTTTCATTTTTTTTTTTCAAACTGTGGCTTTCCAGATCCAAGTCAAACATTGCAGAAAGATGAAGCCTTACCATGGCCACGCTGAGAGCCCGCCTGGGAGGCCCCCCTGAGCCACCCGCCTGCCTCACTGATGACATGCCGCTGGGTGAGAGGAGGGGGGCTTCCCGGGCTCCATCACAGGCAGGGGCTCATGGAAGAAGAAAACAGGAGACCCTTCCTGGGGATCCAGAGTGGTCAGGTACCGGAGGCCCAGGGAGTTTGGGACAGGGTTCTTGACACCATCGACACAGCTTTAGGGCTCAGACCGAAGGCACCCCTTCCCAGCCAGGGGCTCCCCGATGCCTTCCTGCCCACTGGCTCCTGAGTGTCCTTCCACCCTCACCCCTACAGTAGTTCAGCAGGAATCGTTTCAACACACTTCGTGTGCCGTAGGGCCGTCTCGGTGGGTCTTTTCTGCTTTCAGCTCTTCTTCCCATCTCTGCGCCAATTATGCTAAATAACTTGAAGAGAGAAAGTCTGACTGGTCATCATCCCTGAGTGGCAGAACCGCAGGTCACTGGTTCCCTTGTTTATCGACCGGGAGTGGAGGAAAGCGTCAAAGGAATGAATTTATATACTGAGAGATGTGAGAAAATATCCCATCTGCCAAAGAAGAAGAGGATGCTGTGTGAAAAAGGAAGCTACAGACTAAGAAAGGGCTCTTCGAAATATTTTTAAAAGGATAGAAGAAATAAAAAATTCAGTAGTTTGAATAATAGTTGAGACAGTTTCCCAGTAAATAAAACAAACAAAAAGATGAAGGAAAAGATAGTAAGAGATAAAAATCATACAATTGGAGGTTGAAGTCAGAAGGTGCAAAAACCAACTAGTAAAAGTTCCAGAAAGAAAAAAAACAATGGGGGACACATTATACAAGAAAGCTGCTGATAATGAAAGGACATAGGCTTCCACTGGCGAAGACCCTCCAGGTGCCCAGAACGAGGAATACAACACGATCCTCGCCAAGTACATGGTGGCGTAAGTACAGAGCAGCAGGACTAAAGGGAAGCTCTTGAAAGTTCAAAGAGTGAAGGAACTGGAGCCATGCAAAGGAGAGGGACTCACAGTGCATTTGACCTTTCACCAGCAATACTAGACACTGGAAGACCAGGAAAAATCCTTCACAATATGAGGGACTATGATTTGTCCACCCAGACTACTAATCAAGTCTGGGGGTAGAATTACAGACATTTCCGGACATGGAAAGTCTTAGCATTTTTACCTACATTCACCTTTCACAGCAAGCAATTGGAGGAGGCCCTCCACCAAAATAAGGCAGTAAACCAAGAAACATTCTAGACCTGGAATCCAGAAAGCAGGACTCCACACAGGAAGGAGAGAGGTGGAAAGAGCATCCTGGTGAGGGGATAGCAGGCCTTCCGGGGCAACCAGACCCGAGGGAGCAGGAAGCTGGGCGGCTCCTGGAAAACACGAGTGGGAATGTCACCAGCGTTCAGTGTGGAAAGCTGTTTTGAAAGGCATTTTATGGCATGATGACAAGTTGTGGAAAATCTTGGGTATTCAAAGAAAGCTAAGCAGCCAAAACACGAGGCATCAACTAACTTCAGGAAAACAGAAGTTCTGCCCCAATTCTTAGTTCTACTTAGCCCTATGAACACTAGAATTAGGAAAATATTAAACATAGAAATATAGAAAATTATTTAAAGTTGAGATATAATTATCATGGAAAAATGAGAAGAGAAGAAGGCATATGAGTTATAATCCTCATCATAAAAGTAAGTCAGTTCCTGCCTAAATCTAAGTTAGATATTTATGTTATTTGGAAACATGGAGGGAAATCGACTCGAACAGCAAAAGGTTTTGGGTAGAGAGTGGTTGACTGTGGGCGGCAGGAGGGAGATACAAAGGACTGAGTCTCTGTAATAAGCTTTAAAAACAATATTTGACATTTAAAAATAACTATACTAGCTACTTCCATAAAAACAAAAAATCTGTATAACTTTAAAAACATCCATGGCCTGGGGGTGGAGGTGTAGCTCAAGTAGAGCTTTTCCCTGTAGCTCAAGAGTTCCCTGTGTGGTTCTCATGCTCAGCTGTCCCCCTGATGCTTCCCAGGATGACGGCCTGATCCCTGTTGGGGACTCAGAGGTGCACATGTCCCCACCCAGGAGAACCCGGGTGAACTTCCTCTTCAGGAGACTCACCCCGTCCCTCCCGGAGAACCTCTTCAGGAGACTAACTTCCCCACCTGCTGCCACCGCCACCTCCGGGTTTAATGCACACATGCACAGACTGGACAGACGTCTTCAGGTGTAAGGACAGCATGTGTCCCAAAAGAAGTTAGGATCTCTTCAAATGGCTGTTTTGTAGTGCAGACAAAAGAAAACAGACAATTAAGTCCAAAGGCCCTTCCAGGGGTTAATGGTGATGCTCTTCCAGACTGCTGCTGTCACCACAGATTGAAGAAAAGGGGGAGATGCAGACATGTGAAGGGGTAGGGTTGGGGACCCCTGGGGACTGAGGGAGAACTCCTCTGGGCTGAGTCAGTGGAGGGACAAGTTGCTGCGGCTCTCGCCAGCTTTCTGGAAATAAAGCTTTCAATGCATTGTAGTTCTAGGGGTGACCGTGAAGGTGAAAGGTCCTGATTAGCCCCTGACAACAGTAGGGGGTATAGCATAGGGGTGGAGCATGATCAATGCAGATGAAGAGGGCCCTGATTCAAATCCAGGTGTTTCCTTTCCTGCCAGTTTTTCTACTCACAGCTGTTGCTAACCTTCCATTTTCCTTTTTACCATGCCAACCATGATCCGTCCAGAAATTGGAAGCCACAGGTCTATCTGCACAACTGCTGTCTGGAGTGGACTCCCTCTCCCATGTCATCCTACACTAACACTCTGGGTGTCCTTCCTCGTCTTGCCATTTCGCTCCCACCCCCTCCGCACTTCTTTATATATCACTTTTTTCGACTCTATTGGGTCCTCAGAACACTGTGGTGCAGGGGAGACCAGAGAGCTGCAGACACCGCTGGCCTCCTAGTAACAACATCCATAGCAACCTTAAATTTTCAGCCTCATTTCTCCTTCCCACCAAAACAGTTTGGCACAGAGAGTGATGGTCAGAGAGATGGAGACATCTCATACCACCAGGCTCTCCATGTAGGATAAAACATTTCCCTCTAGGAAACTGGTTTCTCTCACACCAGTGCTCACTCACACATTTGCTTCAATCTTGGAGGCTAAAAGCCGGGTTTAGTCACTCCTACAAGGGGGACAGGGAGTCTGCAGTGCTTCCTACAAACCCCAACTATTGGAGCTCTGCAACACTGCCTGGATTAGAGTCCATTTCTATTTTCATTGAGAGAAGAAAGGTAAAGGGCCAGTCACCGGTGACCCCACCCAGGGACTAAAGCCTGGAAAGCTGCAGAACAGAGGGAAGGTGTCTTACAGGTCTGGCAGCTTCCAAAAAAATCAGTCCTAGAGGGAAGCTATGACTATTTTGTAGGGCTGTGTTACCACACAGATGAAACCTATTAATGAGGAGCATATGCATGTAATGGGGGTATAGCTCAGGGGTAGAGCATTTGACTGCAGATCAAAGGGTCCCTGGTTCAAATCCAGGTGCCCCCTTATTTATGTGTAGTTCTGCCATCCCACACTCCCCGTGATGGTGGAAAGCGTGGGTAGGTCCTGGGCTGGCCAGTCCTTGATGGGAAGCTGTTTTGTATTGATAAAAAGTTCAATTCATGGGGCAAGTAGAACAATTCTAAATTTGATGTACCTAGTAACATGGTCCCAAAACACATTAGGCAGAAAGTGATAGAATTAAGAAGGAGAAGTGGACAAACTTTCAATGGTGTGGGATGTCTCAAAAACCCTCTTGTGAATTGATAGAACAGGCAGATAGAATTATCAGAAGGATGTAAAAGATTTGAACATGATTACCAACTTGGCCCGATCAGCGTGTAAAGACCCTTACGCTCCCAAGTGAGAACATACTTTTTTTCAAGCACACATGGAACATTCACAAAAATTGGCCATATTCTGAACATAAAGCAAGTGTTAACCAAACTCTAAAGTATTTAAATCATACAGTATATATTCTACCAAATAAAATTAAGTTGAAAATCGTAACAACAAATGACTAGACAGCCCCTATATATTTGGAAATTAAAAATTATACTTCCAAATAACTTATGGGTCTGAAAAGAAATTGCAGTTGCATTATGAACTAGAAAATATTTTGACCTAGATTATGATGAAAATACTAGATACTGAAACTTGTCAGTTGCAATCAGGGCAGTACTTAGAGGGCAAATTTACAGCCTTACTGTGAAAAGGCAAAGGAAAAACTACTAGGCATCTATCCCATACAGGTATAAAAAGGACAGTAGAATACAAACTCAAGGAAAAATAAAGAAGAGAGTAATAAAGATTAATTAATGAAAGCATAAATTGATGAAACAAAACAAATACACAAGAGATAAGGTTGATGAAGCAAAAGTTGTTCTTTGAAACATAATAAAAATGATAACCCAAATCAGACAAAGTAAAAAGAGAAAACACTAATAACCAATATGAGGAACTTAAAAGAATACATCATTACAATTTCCAAAGACATTAAAAATCACGAGATTATATTATGAAGGCTTTTGCAAATAAAATATAATATTTAGCTGGCATAGAAAATTTTCTAGATAAATACAACTCACACACAGAGAGGAATCCATTGTCCGCTAGGTAGTCCTGGTTTTCTCTTTCTCACTCCAGCACTTGACTTAGGTCCTCAGGATTAAGCTGGCTCAGTGGAAACATACAAGATGTTAGCTGAGACGGGTCCTAGTGGGCCACCTTCCTCTGCAAGTACTAGCGGCAAAGCTCCACGCTCTCCCTCCCATTGTCCAGCAAGGTCGTTTCCTTCCAAACAGCTTCCACTGTTTCATGGTTCCTCCAAACTTCCCTGTACGTATATGACATATGTACACATAACTGAGCAAGTGTTCATACCCAAAATATATAAAGACCTTGCACAAAACAAGAAGAAAGATACATGACCCAACAGAAAAATGAACAAGAGACTTGAACAGGCACTACACAAAAATAGACACACAAATGACAGGTAAGCATATGAAAAGAGGCTCAAACTTCATTAGTCTTCAGAAAGACCCAGATTAACCATGAGATACTACCATATTCTCACCAGGATGGTGAAGATGCTAAAGACTGATGGTAGTAAGTGTTGGTGGGTATGTGGAGCAATAGTAACTCTCATCTCATGGTGGCAGTAGGTAATTTGGTATCATCACTTTTGGAAACTCTGGCATTATCAGTTAAAGTTGAAAATATGAGCACTCTCTTATTCAGCAAATATATTCCAAGATACACACCCCGGAGAGTATACACGTGCAGACAAGCATTTCTCTTAATAGCTCCAAACTGGAAACAACTCAAATGCCCATCAACAGTAGGGTAGATAAGTAAATGATGGTATGATCATATAGTAGAGTGCTAGACAGGAATAAAAATGGACAAGTTACTGCTACAGTGGGCACACAGATGAATCTTACAAACATGAGGTTGGGGGAAAGAACTAGACTGAAGAAAAATTGCTGCAGGTTCCATGTCTTCGAATTACTCCCCAAGCCTGATGGTAGACAAATCCTTTCTGATTTTTCACCATGTGTGGGCCTGAGGCTTTGCCCCTGGAACCATCTACTGACGCTCCAGGCCCCCGTGACCCAGAGCTGTCCCAGGCTTGCGCCCCATCAGTCCTCACCCCCGGGACTCACGCTGGTCCTGGAGCTCCTTCGTGCTCCTGCGGGCGCACCCATCCTGTCCGTCTTACTGGCATCTTACCTACCACGCTGGTGCTGAAAAGAGAAATCCAGAGGCCTTCCCGCATGGTGGAAGTTAGCCTTTCCCCAGCTTCCCAGCGGGAGAGGAGGGGAGAAGCTGCTGGGCTGGCTCCCCGGGCGGCGGCAGGGCTCCAGGGGAAAGGCTGGCAGGAGAAATCCCAACAGGACAGAGAGACCTTTGCAGGAGAGGAAGTTGTTGCAGCTCCAGAAACAGGGCCGAGGCGTGACTGTGGGGATGAGAAGGTACTAAATGCAGTAAGTTTATCTTCTGGACGTGAGAGGCCTTTGCCCACGGATCAGAGAGCCTCTGGGCCACGTGGGGTTTTCCGGCAGCATTTCCTGGCCCTCGAGTTGTTAGCACAGGACTGATACGCTTCTGGAGATTCCTACATCTCCTCAGCCACCTGCTTCTGACTCTTTGTTGGAGTGGATCTTCCCCATCATTTTTCATCTATATTAACTGAGGATGTGGAAGTTGGGAGGGGCACCTTGCACCCTAGATTGTAGTTTAGCAGAAAGTACTTTGAACTGAATGTTGATCCATGAGGGTCAGGCCCTCGGTGGGTGTGGACAGACACTTCAGCCATGGTGAGGTCCTGTTTTTTAGGTACCCGCTCTGATGGGCACAGGCATTTGACTCTGAAGGCCCTTGTAACAGCCAGTGTCAGAGCTTCTCCAGGCTGCTGCCCACACTTGGGGGTGTAGGCCAGGAGATCACAGTCTGCAGGGCTTTAAGGAGGGGGTCTGTCGCATGTTCACAAAGTCACTAAAACAGGCCTGGCAGTTCCCAAGAGAGATCCACCCTAAGTAGCATCTCATAGGGTTATAGGTAATCTGGGTGTGGCTCTACAGATGAAAAAGAGGAATCAAGTCCCACCAAAGAGCAAGGGGGTGTAGCTTAGGGGTAGAGTGTTTGGCTGCAGATCAACAGGTCCCCAGTTTAAATCTGGGTGCCCCCTCTTTAGTTGTAACTTTGACTTTTATACATTTGCTGCATTTCAACTTCCTTGTCAGACACTAACATGAAATCTTTTTTTTAGAACCAGCAAATGATGAAAGCTTTAACACGGTAGCTGGTGATTCTTAACTCCAAATGTAAATTAGAATCACCTGAAAAGTCTATAAAAGCGCCATTCACAGGCCCCACCCCAGACGAATTAAATCAGAATACTTGGGGTGGAGCCCAGGTAAAGTAGAAGCTCCCCAGGGCGCCTAGCCTGCATGCAGCTCGGCAAAGAACCAGCTTTAGTAGAGCTTCTAGGACGCCTTCTCAGATCCAAGCTGCCTCTCCCACCTCTGTCTGCCCGGCCTCTTGAGTTCTGGAAGGCTTTCATTCATCCTTAAGTGTACCTCATTTGTAACTTGACTGTAATGCTATCTTCCAGGAGCAACTGCTGTTTCAGCATTTCTTAGTTTCCTTTATCTTTCTCCCTTCTCAATCCAGGCATTCTCTGGGGGACAGGATAGGACCGGCCTTCTATTTCCAGGCAAACCCCCAGGACCCGTGGCTCAGGGAGTGAGCTCTCCTGGGGCTGCGAGCATTTGTGGAGGATGAAATATCAACACGTTAAAGAATAAGTTCAGGTTGTGTAACTATTAAAGCCAAGTTCATATCTTCCTTAAGCTTTAAAAGTAAATTCTACAGAAAGCAGAACCATCTCAAAACTAAAGAATGTGATGGGTTTCTGTGGTTCGGGAAACAGCCAGCCAAGCACTTCGGTTGACAGTCTCAGGATTCACTGTGGCTTCAGGGATACAGCATGTACTTCAGAAGTACAAGTCATGATTTTTATTATCCCTTGCACGAATCATCTTTTATGACCTTTCTCACAACTACCTAAAGTACACTTCACGGTTCTCCAGGTTTAATAAACAACTGAAGTCTGGACTTTAGATGGGCTAAAAATAGGTTCCCATGATAAATCTGTTTGACAGCAAGAAAGTCTTCACCTCTCTCCGCTGAACGGCAGGAAGCACAACAGACCACCTCCAGCCTAGAATTCCTGAGGGTTTGTCTAACTCAGTAAGTTGGCAAGTAGCTCTTTGTCTAACTCCCTGAGTGGTATGGATTCTGCGTCCTCCGAGTTCTCTTACCAGCATATGGCATAAGGGCCTGAAAAAATGTCTTTGATCTTCAGTGATGTGCTTCAGCTTTCATTTCACTAAAGCTGATTCCTTCAGTCACGACAGACTAGAATTCTTAATTAGTACTTTTTTCCATTTTTATGAACACTTGGAACTTTGGCTTAGAGCCTGGTTGCTTGTTGCCCTCATTCGCCACCTTCTGATATTGATAATGACCTCTAGTGGCAGCCTCCCTGTCACCTCCTCATGACTGTCACCGATTGCAATGTGCAAAGAAATCCCTACGGCAACTCCAGAGTTAAACATCAAGCAAAGTCAGTCACATTAATTCTCTAAGGTAAAAATATCAGACTAAGAATATAGGCATTCTGCAGTGAGATGAGTTAAAACTAGAGAGCAAGAAAAGATTCAAAACTGATGAACTAATCAGTTAAAGCTCAAAAAGCCAAGAGTAACTTGGCCTGGAATGCTTGAATATTCCCTAGATAAGAAAACATCTCAGCATAGTCCATGTCTTCATTGTCAATTAAATCATGCCATTTGTAAGATTTACTTTAGCCTGCAAAGAGGCCCAGCTTGTTTTTTTTAACTTTACCCATATGCTGCTTTTCCTCCTCCAGCCCCTAATCAAGTAATTTGCAACCTGTGCAATTGACGGAGCAAGCAAGCCCATCCATAAACAACATAGTAAAAACAGGAAGGATTCTATCTTAAAGGTAAGATGGCATTTTAAAACCCAGGAAGTTAAGAAGATTCTTAACATACTCTTTAGCAAACAGACAATAACTCAGCCCACCTTGGGCGCTGGGCAGGCGGTCTTGATTGATATGCTCCCAGACCAAGAAGCTGCTCTCCTGAGAAAGAAACAGAGCAATAAATTTCTTCTGTTACCTAAAGAACTGATCAGAGAAAAGAGACTTAGTGTCTTTTCAAAGATAACATTCTGGGACCATTTGGCAGGTCTGCACCCCTAGTCCTTTGTCACATTCATCCTCAACTGCCTATAAATCCCCTAGACAAGGCACCACCACAGACTTTCTTGTCCCCTCCTGGGGTGTGCCAGGAGCTCTTTCCTCTCACTTTATCTCTAAATAAAAGCCTCTCCCTTGCTTCCCTACCTTGAGTGTTTGTGAAGTGCATTCTTTGACTCTGAGAACAAGAATCCCAGGTCATAGAGGCGTAAATAGATATTCACAAACATTCACAAAAATAAAAAATTGAAAATTAGGAGAAATGTTAGAAGATGCAGAGAAACTGTAAGCATGTATTCCTTGGATATCTAGGCAATTTTAGGAGATGCGGAAATTGTTTTATGTGCCTCATTTTGACATACTAGTAAAAATTTGTGTTGGTTAATAGGCAAAAGCACCATGTGTCCTGTTGGGGCTGATGTGGAAAACTCCCTCTTGTGGGTGGAGAGGTCACATGCCTGCCTCTAGCAGGGCACCCACTATGCATTTTGGCTGCAGACACAGGCACTAGAATTCAACTTTGGCCAGCTGAGGCCTCTGCACACCGAGAGGAAGCAGGTGATGCAAATCCTGTCCCAGAAGCTCTCGCCCAGCACTGGGGTCCTCCTCCAGCACCGCCTCTGCATGTGCCCTGTGAGCACTGAAATCTTCCAAACCCCTCTCAGCCTCCCTGAGAGAAGGTAGTTCCAGATGCTCTATATCCTGACAGTATCTAGATAGTTCCTGGCATGTTCCAGACTGCCAAATTGGGACAACAAGAGCCAGTCATCACTGCGTGCTTAGCCCCTAGGAGACAAGTTATCTTTTACAAAGTGTAATTGCCATCCCAAAAGGTGTTTGCTGCTGGCCACCCTCTTCCCATGCAGGGGGCAGCATTCCGGCCTCAGGAGGGGCAGGGAGAAATGCAAATCTGTCTGCCTTCTTTGCGTCCATCCTTGCACCTTGGTCTTTGCATCTTGGGTCTTTGTTATCACCTCTGGTTTGGCTCTGAGCCACCCTCTGGCAAGGTCCCTCATGCCTGCAGTTCCAGCTTGCAGCCCTGAACAAGCAGATGTGAGGACCTCCCTCCTTCCCCCTATTGTCACCTTAACCCTCCAGTCTCCCTATGTTGGGCACATTAGGGGGGCAATTTATGCATTTCCAGATTGAGAAGACAGGGCTCCCTCGTGCTGGGGTTCAGTAGGTCCGTTTCAGGAAGAGAGGCCTTCAGTCCCTCCTCCCCGTGCGGTCGGCCAGAATCGTGCAAGAGTGGCACTGGCCTCTTTCTTACCCTTCCGCAGGGTTCCCTAGTGACACCGCCCAGTGTCGCCACCCCCTCACATGCAGTGGCCTTGCTGATTTCTCCTGCTGTGTATGTGATTTTGTGGCTGAACCGGGGCCGGTCCCTTCTGTGATTGTCTTGCTCAAAGTATGAATATGAAAATCTTTCTTTGCCGTTAAGAATGCTGTGGTCGTGGCTGTGACTGTCACACTTGGTGGGCCTGGGCTGTGCGCACCGCCCTCTTTATTTGCGGGGTGCACACTCCTCCGGTTTGCCCTCGCCCCACCTCACGCACCGGCTCCTCTGAGTCCGGAGGCCTCTGCGGGGCCGCAGGGGGCAGGTGGCTGCCTCGGGGGTGGCCAAGGGGCCAGGGTGGTGCTGAGTGCAGGTTGCATGCATTGGGGTTGCCCCCAGCCCAATGCAGGGGTACCCTTTGCCCTCAGATCAACCAAGAACATCATAACATCCCCGCTGGGGGGTGTGGGGGTGCACGACCAGCGTGTGGAACAACCCCGGAGCAATGTGCTGAGGAAGGCCAGGAACCACTGAGGCAGAGGCGAGGGATGAAGGGAAGGCCAGGAGGGGTTTTGGGTCTGGAGCTGACCGTCTGGGGTTTGAGGAGAGCGAGGAATCAGCATGCCTGTGGCTGCAGAAGGCAGGGAAGACTCCCGGGAATATCTGTAGTGCTTTCTCTCCTTTATTTTTAACCACTTAGTACCTGAAGGGCTGGGAAAGTGTAGACATTGGGTTATTACATGTGTAGAATGGAAAACAAAAGAATCCCCACCTACTCCCTGGGAATAACTACTTGGGTTATTTCCATGCATATGTGTTTATACATAAATATCTTCATATGTGGGCATAATCTTTCCTATTATATAATAATTTGTATATGTAGTATCTTTTTAAAAGCCCCAGTGAGCTCACCTCATACAGACATGCGCTGTGCTCTGTGGCTTACTGGCATCGTTTAAGCGTCTTTCCACGCTAGTGCTCTGGACCGATGTCACCCTCTACCGTCGCGTCATGCCCATCCTGTGACCGCACCATGCGCGTAACCTAATCCCTGTTGGTGGGTACTTGGGTGGTGTCCAGTTTACCGCCAGGAGAAAAAACTGCCTTGACTCTCCACACGTGCGTGTCATTGCGCCCTCATGGGTATTTCTGTAGGATAAAGTCCCAAACATGGAACTCTTCTAGAGAATCATTTTGCCTAAGTAACTTTTTTTTTTAAACAAAGGCAACATACTCAGTAAGGAAAAGTTGAAACCTAAATAAAAACACATACGAAAGCTGAAATTACCTACAGTTCTCAGACACACTGTTTTGAAACCTGCCTTTTCACTAGATGAATTATGAGGAATATTATTTTAGGTAACTGAATAACCTTCAGACATGGGTTCCAACCTCCTTTCAGTGGGAGAAGGCACTGTCACCTAGTCATAGGTACGTCACCATCCCAGTAGGCCTGGTACTCAGTAGATGCTTGGTAACTCTAACTGCCCCAAAAAGGGTTATCTGGATGATTTTAAAGGTCTCCTCACCTGTAAGGGTCAACAAGCCTACCAGGGCATCCTCAGCCAGGTGCACAGATGGGGAAGAAGACCTGTTTCTGGCAGAAGGGAGGCCAGAGGTCACAGAGGTGGAACTGACTGGGATGTCCCAACTAATAACATTAGTCCTTGAGGGTATCGCTCAGTGGTAGAGCATTTGACCACATTTCAACAGGTCCCCAATTCAAATCTGGGTGTCCCCTGCTGCACCTAGCTTTTAATCACAAGTGGGACCCTCATTACTAGGTTCCCCCCGCCCCCCGGCAACATTGGCCCAACTTCTGGGAAAGTGCAGACCCAATCTAAATCTGGAGATGTTTGTTCCCTCAGGTGATTTGTATTACCTTACAGGTGACAAGGTACAGGTCCCTCAGACAGAAGTAGTTGAGCCAACAGGACCACGTGTATCTCACGATGGGAGAGCTGCTCAGCATCTGGGACGGCAGGTCAGAGGCCCTGACCTAAGGCTTCATGTTCCCAAGTCCTAGAGCTCCTCCTGGGGCCTGTTCCATACTCACAGACGCATGCCTTGCCCTGCTGCAGCCAGGGCCTGGGGAAGAGCAGGATTCTGGTGGCACAAAGAAGTGAGAGAGTGGGGAGCAGGTGGAAGATGGACTGTGGGCTCCACTGAGGGAAAGGAAGCTAGAACCACATCCCAAACCATTGAGTAAGAACACGAACAGGTAAGGAGCATCTGTCCTTAAAAGCTCATCAGTTGTGACTGTCTGAGGAGAGCTCTGACGTCTGCAAGCATATCCAGCACTCTTCCTGGTACTGAGCTGCCCCTTCTGTCCAGTCAGTCCTTGGGAACCTGCTCTACCGCAGATGGAAGGCGTTCTTGCTCACCATCCCCTGGCTTAGCTGACCCTAGCCAAGGACACCTTTGTAAGAGTTCTGGCTGTGTCAGTCAAAGGCCCCTGGGCTGAACTAGGGTCACGAGTCCCCTGCTGGCCTGCCCATCACAGCCTCTGGTGTGTGAGGTGGTGAGAGCCGCAGTGCCCTCCCGGAAACACGGCTCAGGGCTCCAGGTCAGACCTCTGGAATCAGGGTGGGTGGGAACGGAGCCAAGGGCTCTATTTTTAACAAGCGTGTTGCTGATCTAGTGGAAAGTCAGGATTAGAAACTACTGGTTTAATGTGGTACCACATGTTACAGGCTTGAAAAAAGGCCATAATTAAGAGATGTGCCCAAGCACGCATACTAATTAATAATAAGGTGTGACCAGATCCCACATGGTCCTGGGATCCTTCCACACTCCCAAACATGGTGCAAGACACAACCTGGTCCGCTGCCTTCAGCTGTTTCCCACTCCCCATAGCTGAGCTTTCACTGGGCTGGATGAGACAGGTCTTCCCAAGAAATGACCTGAGTGATGCCCACCCAGCACCCGGCACTAAATGAGATGAGCCCACAGGGGCACGGGAATCTGAGCCACAGACCTCACGGCCTGCAGTCAAGTATCTTCCCCTGAGCCGGGGGCCCACTTCGTACTGTTTCTGATAGATACCTTTTCGTGACTGTGGCCTCCCCCACGGAGGGGCCCTCCAGTAACCCAGCAGTTTGTGTTTACTCCTGGCCAGCCCCAGGTCCAGGCTGAGTCACCTGATGCAAATATTAACCCTCTCCTGCCATAGCCCGCCCCCCATTCTCACCGAGCCCTCACGGAGTGCTCAGTACCTGCTCTTCCTTCTGTCTCTGGCTGGTGCCCTTTGTGCTGGAACAGCCCCCCTTCCCCTGCCCTCTCCACGCCACTTCCTCCTCCGGCCCATTTGTTCTAACATCTGCTCCCTGTCTCCCGCCTTCATCCTTTAGGCCACTTACTGGATTTTGCCCTCTTTTCCATCTTCTCCCTTTGCTGGCTGAGCCGTTGCCTAGGAAGTCAGACCATATCTACCTTTCCTCTGCAGGGCCCCCGACTGTCCCCTTATGGAACCACAGGCCGTGGGATTTTAAACCCATAGCACGAGGATTCTGGTGGTGTCTTCAGTTATTACGATGAGTAGGCAGGCTCTGCATTTGGTGGCTGAGGGATGGAGGTACTGCGCACTCTGCAAGCTCTTCTATCAGTCCTGATGGGAGAGGAAATCCCCGGGGACTGGCGGAGTTCGGGTCCTCCACATCCTCTCATCAACCCCTTTACAATTTTCAGAGGACTGTTCTTCCCTGATAAATGTCCTAACTTTCATACAAGAGACCAGGCAGGCTCTGAATTTAACTGAGTTTGGCAATTGCAATACAAAGGTTGCTTCCGGCGTTCTGCTGTGTCATGCATTAACTTAGATTCTCACAGCACATTCGTCAGAGGCCTGTGTCCCCTTCCGTGCACTGGATGAAGAGGCTGCACCTCTGATCCAGTCATTGCCACACATTAGAATCAGCTACCCTCCAGGCTTCTTGATCTCAGTGGGCATTCATTTCAGCTGACTACAGGACAAAATTTATTTAGCTTTTTGTTGCCCCTGTGAATCCTGGTCTGCTAGATTCCCATCCAGACCGACCAACTAGACTTTTACTGGCTTCAGTACAACTAGGTCTGACAATTAACCCCCAATTCCCATATACCCCCATTTCTCAGAAGATCTCTTGCTTGCAAATCATTCCTGGTACCAATTTCTGTGCTCACCATTACACACAGGTGCAAACCCAGAACCTGACCTTGTCTAATGGAGACAGACTGGAAGATCCCTGACAGGCTGTCAGGGGCCCATGGCCCTGGAGGAAAGGCAGGAGAGCCCGGCTTAAGGGGACCCCATGGGCCAGAATCACAGCCAAGGCCACAGCTGAGCAGCACATGCAGCAGAAGCCACTGCAGCCCCCACTGGACACTGGGTGAGCCCAGCCCTGCCCTGGGGTCCGAGCTGTGCCTCCCTGGAATGAGGAATAATCGGTCTCCTGCCTCTGTGCATCACTCACTCTGCAAAGTCTAGACCGGGCCCTCAGTCAGCAGGGCCACAGTATTTGGTTCATGTGTTTGGCGTAGCAGGTTGCAGAGCTTGCTTCCCACTGAATCACACTATTTGAGGTTGTGAAAATAGAAGAAGATGGTTTATGTTCCAGGCCAAACGTTCCTGTGAAGAAATAGGAGGACAGACCAGCACAATGGGGTTGGCTAGTAGAGTGCGGGGGCCTGGGAGAAACCACGGGCTCCCAGCCCGTTTCTGCCCTCTTGCATCCTCAGAGGTTTCAGTGTTGGGGTGGCAACAGCTGCTACAGGGAATAAATGCAAAGAGAGAACAGCTGCTACAGGGAATAAATGCAAAGAGAGAGCAGGGAGCACCTGGATTTGAACCAGGGACCTCTTGATCTGCAGTCAAATGCTCTACCCCTGAGCTATACCCCCAGCAGCTTTTGAGTCTCTCATAAACACTCTAAGTCTGTGGAACCACACCCTGGCTGTCAGCATCTTAGAAATAAGCTTGCCAGTGCTGTGCCATCTGACATCCCTGCAAACTGATGTCCTTTCTCCTACGCCCACTCCCTGTCCCCCCACCTCTACTTTAGGCAGCGATCCTTCCTCTCCTCAGCTGTTGTCTGAAGGCACTGAAATCATTGAGGTTTGCAGTTAAAACATCCTTCAGACGCTTCTCTCCAGACCTCTGAGGTTAGGGTAGGGCAGGCAGGGCTTGGAAAAGTTAAAATTATCCCTGGTCCCCTCTTAGAGACAAGCTCTGATGATTCTGACTCGTGGACAGTTTTGGGGGGCCATTGATTTACTCTGTGTTCTTCATGGTATAGATCTGGAAAAAATGACAGGAGTTAAGATCATGCCACACCAAAACACACCTGATTAATGACCAACACACAGCTAGGAGCTGCCCTGTCTGTCTCTCCTCTTTTCCCCTTCAGGCTCCATTTGCTGCCTCCTTCCACATGTCAAGTGGAGGAAGTAACCTGACGAGGGGAGGCACCCCATGGAAAAGTGGTGAGAGGTTTATGGTCACTGGAGCATAGATACGAGACAGTGATCGCCACTGTGGTCAGAACAGAAGGAAGGTGACACACAGACTTGAGTCAGGGTCTACTTGATATGCTGTCAGATGCTCAACCCGGAGCTCTGTTCTTTTATCTCTTTACTTTCTTGATTAGCATCACTTCACTTGTCTCATCCCACCTGAGAACCAAGGTACGCTATAAGTTCTCTTCATTTCTAGTGAACTAGTTCACACTGACTGACTAACCTCACTTGGATTTCTGTCTGGCTTTGACCTTACTCTGTCCTTCCCCCAGAGACCTATCACATGACTTCTAGAACTCCCCTGCCCAGAGCCCTCCTCAGGGCCTAGGTGGGGCATCCGTCACAAAGCTGGACTCTTCCCTCTTTCCTGCCCTCCTCCTCACGGGTTGTTATTGCCAGCCTGCTCCCTGCACTCTCTCAGACTCATTCTCAAGCCCGTTGCTTACACTCTGCTATAACCCCCTTCTCATTGTCTACTTCTTGGCTTTAAAAGGGAGACGCCTTGCCAGAGAGGTGAGGGCACCATGCTGGCTCCAGGCCATTAGCTCCGCTCAGCGCAGCTGGAACGTCTGTGAGAACTGACTGCTCGAGCACTCGAACTCAGTCCTTCAGCATCCCTGGGATGGGGACCATCAAACCTTTCCTCTGTGGACCTTTCCCCGGATGAGGCCAAAAGGTCACACAGATCCCAAGTAGGCAGAAAGAGGACAAAGGGGTATCACATATGGAGGCTAAGAATTGTGGGAATGATGTCAGGGATGCTGGAGCTCACAATTCGTTGCAATTTGCAAAGGATGATCAGGACAATGACAGAGTATTTGCTTATTGGTGCAACAATCTGCTTAGTTATTTGGAGTAAGGGGAAATATACTTCATCTATAGAAAACTTAACTTCTTTGAATCTCTCTAATGTCCCTCATAGAATTTAAGAATACACTACATAAAATGTTAAAAATTAGCAGTTACAAAATATAAATAAGCATCAAGAAAAAATTAGATTTCTTGTAGTGTCATCAGCTAATAATTTGATGCCTATTCATCCAGGCTTATAGTTTAGAATCAAATGTCTTCTGAGGAGAAACATGAAACTAATTGCTAGCTACTTCGCGGTCTCCTACCAGGCGTTCTTTCGCTTTGGCCTCTGTGTTCATGTAGAAACATTCTCTTTTCCTGAAAATAAAAAAGAAAGTAGAAGTTAAAGAATTCTGTTTTATCATCAGGCCCTTCCACTTACTGATCTGGTTTCTACCAACAAATAACTTTTAAAATCACATTTGTGTAATTTTCTTCAAGATAGGATGAAGGAGTTTGTGGCAGGTCAGTACTCCTACCAGGAAGAACCAGACACGTCAGCTAAACAGCGACATTTTCAGTGTAAAGGCAGTGGAGAACTGAAGACGCAGCAAGGACTGGGTGCGACAGAGGAGAGAACCTTGCAGACGCGAGTAAGGGGCTGCAGCTACATTTTCCCTGGGATACTTTGCAGGTGGGGCTGCCAGAGGAGACTAGGCCAGAGCAGAGAGTTGTCCAGGGACTGAGAAGCCAGCAGGGCTCTTGGTTGGAGGGAAACAATTGCTGACATAAAGGACATCAAACACACATCTCGTTTCTACCTCTAGACATTTGCAGAAATCTAAGACTATGTATGGCAAGAGGCTATAAAACTAAGCAAAAACCTCTGGAAAAAAAACCAACACAGAATAGAATTTACAACAGTCTTGTGGCTACTGAGAAGGTGGAAATACATCGGGAACGGGCCCCAGGAAATATACAAATGCTTCTGGAGAGTGGAAGTCCTGGGAAAGGTAATGAATTGACCTCGATGATCTGCAAACACTGTGCCCCTGAGACACGGGTCAATTCAGGGCCCCACCAGGGTCTTGAGTTTCCCCTGTTGGCACCAGCACAGAGGTGCCAGGAACCAGAAAAACCTAAAGCGTTTCTGCTGGTTGTGCAGTGTTGGAGCGAAAACATGGACTTTGAGGGTCCTTAAATACACAACAGGCTCCCTCCCTTAAGAAAACTGCTGTATTATGAAGCAAGAGGCTAAAAACCGAAGCCCAAACCCTCTGAAAACCCTCTCATATTTCAAGGCTGAAGAGAAAAAGACTTTCCAGGTTTATAGTTGAAAACCTGGGAGGACCACTGTCTACAATTGGGATAAGACTCAGGTAGAAGGAACGCCACCCAAAGTACATTTTTGTTTTTCTTACAAGGAAAGACTGATTAGTCCCTTATTGGATTAAGGCAATCAGCCCTCAGCTACACGTTTCTCTAGGAGTAAACGCTATCTAGCGGAATATTAATTTCATCTGGAGCCTTTACTCTTTTAATACACACTGTCTGGCATTCAATAAAAATCACCAGGTATAGCAAGAGATGGAACCATAGGAACAGAAACCAAGAGAAAAAAAACAGACAAGAGAAGCAGGTGATCTCAATGCCGGATTATAGAATTTAAAATAACTTTGGTGATATGTTCAAGAAAACAGGAAAATGGAGAAAGTGTGGAGAATTTGACTAGTTTTAATTTATAAGAAAAAAATCAAAAGGAAATTCTAAAACTAAAAAGTACAATATTTAACAGTAAGAAGTTAATGCATGTTTTTAACAGAAGCTTGGGCACAGTGGTTAACAGGATTAGGGAATAAGAAAACAGATCAATAGAAAAGAATTAAAATTGAAGCACAGGAAGGGAAAGAATGGAGAAAAAGGGGAGAAAATAGGAGACAAATGGGACACAGTTAAAAGTTCTAAATCACACTGGAACCTCAAAAGAAGATAAAAAAGAAAACGAATCAAGATTTAAAGGGATAATTGCTGGGTATTTTCCAAAACTGATGGAAAGCATCAACCCATTGATACGAGAAATTCTGTGAGAAGAGGACGATAAATACAAAGAAATCACACCTAGATACATCATCTTAAACCTGATTTTTAAAGAGACAGCTCTGAAAAGCAGCCTGTGGGGAAAAAAAATACAAATTTTACGATGGACAACTGACTTATTAACAGAAATGAAGGTATCCAAGCGACAGTGGAATAAGATTTCTAGAGCGCTCAAAGACAACAGCAGACCCAGATTCTGACTGCCTGAATCCCACCTATGTTCTCTTCCTAATGATGTTGCACGGAGGATCTGGCACCCAGGCTGGTGGTCTCATAGTTCAGGGTCATCCCAGTTCAGGGTCTCTGGACTGATTTTAGTGACTCCAGCGGTTTTACTATTCGGGAGAGTTTTTGGGTTTTTTCTTACAAAGCTTTTGTCCCTCATCCACGGGCTGGTGCCAGTGCTCACGTTGCTCTTCTGATCACTAGAAAGTGAGAAGAGGTGATGGCAGTTGTATTAGTTCATATTTTTCAGCAAACTGCTTTTCTTAATTTATGAAAAGAAGTTACTGGAAACATCACAGAATCGTTAGGAAACAGAGAACAAGGCTTGAGAGAGGCAGGACCAAGTCAGCCTCAGAGATGGTGAAGTCAGCCTCAGCCACTACAACGGCAGCCTCACGATCCCAGAGCGATCAGGGAACTGCACGTGCAGGATTCAGAATCAACCATTCTGGGTTCTTTTCTCTTGTCCATGACTTGAATTCCAGGAAGAAAAATCTGCATGGGCCAGTTAGTATCAGGGCATGCACACCTCTTATTTATAGACGGTCCCAGATTCCAACCCTGTCAGACTGTATCTAGGGAAAACTGCAATATTATTAGGAAGGGAAATGGCTGTTGAGAAGCCAAAAACTCCCGTATGTCCACAACATCGATTATTAATGACACATTTGCATCAAGAAATGTATAGGAATGTTGGCTGTGTTTGCAATACCAGAAATAGTTGTCACAACTGGATATACGAGAGAATGGGGACTTTAGGAGTTTAGAGTTCTCCCGTTCTTTATCTTTTGCTGAGGTGTCTTCCAAGCATCCCTTTGAACTAAGCACCAAGGCTTTTTCTCTTATTACAAAGCTCAACTTATCATGGGATAAAAAGGAGAAAGTCTAGGCCATCACAGACATTCAAATGAGAGATGTCAAAGTTTTGTGTGTGTGTGTGTGTGTGTGCGTGTGTGAGCATATTAATTAAATATTAGAAAAAAGCTTTGGAGATTACCACAAATATAAAAACATCTCTACACGAGGTAGAACTTGTGTAATAATAAGTTCTACCTATTCTTCCTGACTACTCAGGGAGTCATTTTGTGTGTGTGTTTTATCATCCCTGGCACCACTACCTGGGTAACAGGAAAAACTCCCAATAAAGGGTAAGGTGAGAGCAAGATGTAGTGAGTTGTCTTTCAAGTCTGAGGAGGTGTGCTGGCATCCTCTGAAACTTCACTGGAGTGGATGTCTCTGGAGCGGCAATTCCCACAAGAGCTGAGTTTTTAGTGCAGTTAACAGGAAGTCTGCCCATTTCCATCTGTGTCGAGAGAAGAGAACATAGACATCTGAGCTTTCCATTGTAAGTCTCTGAGCTTCCCAAGGCTGTCAGTCTTGGCTTGGCCGGCCCTTCATACTGTTCTATAACAATAGCTGGTCCTTGAATGTTTTGTCCTTCAGTGGGAACTTTATTCCAAGAAGGAGTGACATTCAAGATATTTAACCATGTCTACAGCACAGACGTTGACCAATCAGAAGGGACACCAGCCGTCAAGTTATTGAATGCCTACCAGATGAATAAGCCGCCTCCAATCCAGGTGCTCAATTGAATCTGTGTGATCAATTACTCAGCAACTTAATTTCTGAGATTCCTGAGTTCCCAGATTCTCAGCCCTGAAGAATCAACCGGATTTCTACTTTCTTTAAACTCAAATAGGACAACCCTTGGACAAACCAATCCTACATTCACCCCCTTAAAGTCCTTGTTTGCAACCCACTCCAAACAATTGTATCTGCCTAGACACATTATTTCAGGAACAGAAGCTGGTTCTGTCTGACATTGACGAGCCAGTCATTGCCCAGGTGCCAGGGAGCTCACAGCACTGAAGGAAAGGTTGGAGACACAGGTTTATGAAGTAGCGGTAATCTGAGGGAACTCAGCCAACTGTTCAGGCAGCTGCTGGATAATGCCTCACTCTGCCACCCCTGGCATTTGTGTCACCTGGCCTATGAGTGGAGTGTGAGTTGGGGCACCTGTTTGGCCAGAACTGCCAGGGGGACAAAGGGAGAAAATAGCCTTTGATTTTTGCTTCTGCTGCTGTAAACAGAGCCATTTCTTCCCAGGGTTCACACAATTGGGGGTCTTAAAACAAGGAAAGGTTTCAAGGGTTGGGAGGGAAAAAGAAAACAACGTTTGAATTAGAATCAGGGACCTCTCTGGTTTTGTGAATCAAATGCTTTACTCAGAAACAACCAGTGTTGTCTAATGAGCATGTTTCAATTGTGAACTTTAAGGCAGGAAGTCGAGTTATAACTTACGGGCTGTCACCTCAGCTTGCAGTACTTGCCACTACAGTCTGTCACCACTGTGCTATGCCCACGCTTTCTTTGCCTTTCCCACGTGCTCCTACCACTACACACCTGGTCGTCTGTGCCTTGAATCCTCCTCCCTCAGTTCTGGGCTGAAGGCACTAGCTTAAAATCATAGATGTTGACCACCAGAATATTGTTCAGAATTGCATAGCCTTGTGAGTTCCACAGTAATTACCCAGTCATTTACAATCATTGGATATTAAGACTGAATTTAGCAGGGGAGTGTGCCTCCTCAAAACAAAGTTCCCAGGCCCCTCCTCAGTCCTACTAAATCAGAGTTTCTAGGACTAATCTGTGTTTGTAATAATGTCCCTAAGTAATCCTGGGGCAGCCAGGCTGGTAACTGCTGACTCAGTGTCCTTCCAGAATGTAAGCTTTACAGAAGAGGAACTAAAAATAAGAACCTCTGAAATGCACACAGATCATTTACAACAATAAGTCATCCAAGAAAACTGACGCAGATCAATACAGAGTGTAAGGGTGACTCTACAATAGGACTCTGAAATGGGGAGGTCATTCATCTGCATCTGGCAGTAAAAAAGGCCACCACTAGGGGGCACCTGGATTTGAACCAGGGACCTCTTGATCTGCAGTCAAATGCTCTACCCCTGAGCTATACCCCCCTGCATATTTCTTTTCTAACTTATTTTACCTGTGTTGCCACAGCTAAGGATTCCATAGTGGACTGTTAAGGTTTATTCATTCCTAGTCACTTTGTGGACAATGGTAGACACACCCACCACAAACTGACTGGAGACCACCCTCTGGCCCTGAGTTCTCCTCAGAAAATCCTCTCTTGTCTGATAGGCATGTTCCCACCCTGTAGCCATGACCTGAATTCTTTCAATAAACTGCAGTTTCATCCTCTCCCCACTCAGCACCTGGTGGGCAGATGGTGTGTGTGTATGTGTAAGAATCATGGCTGCATGAGCTACTTCCACAATAATGTTTCATAGCAAATCATCCCAAAATTCAGATGTATGCAACAGTAAGTATTTATTTTCATGTTCAGCAGCACAGATGCCTATCAGCAGATCTAGGCTGGGTAAACTGGTGGCCCTGCTTCAAGCTGGGGGTCCATCTGTGCCTCTGTGAGCTGGGCTGATTTGCTCCAAATCTGTCCATTCTGGGGTCCAAGTTGGAGGGGTAGCAGCTAACAGGGGTATCTTTCTTCATGGCAATGACAGAAATGCAAAAAAGCAAGCCCAATGACATGAGCAGGTTTTAAACCTCTGTATCAGTTGTGCTAACATCCCACCAGTCAAAGCAGGGTGCAGGACTAAACCCTAAACCAAGGGCAGGGATATACATGCTATTTCCAATGGGAGGATCTGAAGAGCCTTGTGGAAGAGGGCACAGAGAGAATAAGTGAAGAACTAGGGCCAACATTTGAATCTACATGGTTTGCCTTCTTGGCCATATTTATTTATATTTCTTCCATGTGCATAATCTCTTAGCTTTATCCCACAGGCTCCAAAGCCTCATTCAATCAGACAAAGTCCAGAATCTTGTGATCTACATTCAATCCAGGTGAGGCTTCTCAATCCAGAGACCTTGTTAAAAGACAAGTTATCCACCACTCACACACCCAAAGTCTAATGATGGTACAGGAACAGACTTACTGCAATAAACATGGACATTCAAAGCTGGACAAAAGAGGAAACACCCTTAGAAACTGGTTCATGGAAAGTGAAATGCTAGGCAAAAGTGGCCAAGCCCCCTTTCACCTTTAGTATAGTCAGGGCCTCCTTCGAGATACCAATTTCAGTATTTGGCAGCCTTTTCACAATAATGTTGTATAACAAACCACCCCAGAGCCCAGTGGCACACAATATGAATTCCAGCAGGAGGGAATTCTCCTTCATTAGACCTGGTTCTGCTACCTGGGAACAGCTCCCAGTCCACCGCTCTGCATTCCTCTTAGTTCCACCCTCTGAGACATCATCCTTTACCATCAACCTCCTTTGCAATTTCTGAAGAGATTGTTGGAAAATATGTCCTTTTGGTGGCTGAGCATTCTTCTCAGCTTGCTTGCCACCTGTAGAATACTGGAAGCACAAAGGTCTTTTTACTTCTCAATCTGTCTCTTTTAGTCCAAGCTATTAATGCGTTTGTCCATATAGCTCCCTGAAGCAATTTCTGGGTTTCCTATGTATTTGACTCCATGTACCAAAAGCCACAACCACAATTCTTTTTGACTTATGCTCTCCTTCCAGCTCAATTATAAATATTTGGATATATCACATTTCTGTGAGGCCACATCCTTAATCTTTCTAGGAATATTTTGTCCAATTGAGAGGATATACTTAGCGCCACCTTAATTCTTTTAGTGCTCTTATTTAAGCATGAAAGCTATGAGTGCATTAAAGCTTGATTTGGTTGGAGGTGTCTTACTGGAAGGCTCTGGATTTATTCTCTCCCCTAAAGTGTTGCCATAATGGGTTCACCTTTGTTTGGGAGAGAATGGTTTTATTTTCTAACTATGCAATTTCTAAGCTACCTATATCTCCTCTAAATTCTGACTACAAACCAGTAGGTTCTCTTCTGAACTAAAATCTTTTTGATAGCAACGTATTAAGAACAGACTCAGTAAAAAATAGCTTATGCATTCAACATTGTCTTGAAATATGTTGCCCCAGCTCTGCAAGTTCAAGTATATTTTCTGCCTTTCAGGTTATCATGAGCCTGTTTCTCCTGCCCTCAATAATATATAGTTTTCCATTTTCCCAGCTGATTTCTAACAGCTTCCTTGCCACCTACTGCTTCATGATGAAGCCATGCCATGTATTTTAGGCTTTTGTTGCAGCAGGAGCCCCTTTTATATACTGATTTTAGTATTTGCCAGCCTCATTCACGATAATGTTGCATAGCAAGCCACCCCAAACCCCAGTGACATCCAACAATAAGCATTTATTCTCATGCTCATGGGTCATCAGGCTGAATGTGAATCAGCTGATATGGGCTTGGCTTGGCTGGGTGCATCTGCTTCATGCTGTGGGTCTAGCCGGCCTTGGTTCCTCTCGGCAGGCTGGACTCAGGGTTGGACCATGTGTGTTCATTCTAGGGCCCAGGCTGAAGGGGAAGCAGCTTACAGGGGAAGCACATCTCATGGTAACGGTGGAAGTGCCAGAGCGCAAACCCAGCCTCGGAAGCAGAACGCAAGCCCCTGCTTGCAACGTATCTGCTAACATCCTGTTGGCCAGAGAAAGTCACACGGTATACCAGTCATCAATTTATTGACTCTCGGGTCCAAATTCATGGCTCTGCAGTAACGAAAGGATTCTTTACGCCTGTCTCCTTTAAGTGAGCGCAATGTGAGCCGTTGTCACTGGAGGGCGCTGGAAGGACGTTGCGGGAGAAGGGGGGCTTCTCTCCCTAGTTCTTCCTAAGTGTTGTTTTTTGCCGCTGCTGCAGGGTTGGTCAGTGGGACGGATGTGTGAGGACGCCTGGTGGGGCCCTGCCCCAGGAACGCACGCAGAGACTGAAGTTCCTCGGCGACCTCGCAGCCGCAGCTGGGCGGCCGGCCATCCCCGCGGCCCCTCTTAATTCCGTCTATGCCCCCGCCGCCCAGCCTCGGTTTGCCTTTGCCCAGAGGTGTGGTGCCCACACCTTCCACGAGCAGACCCCGAGCTCTCCAGGCTTCACACTTCCAACGGTCTCACCTGCGCCCGAGAGGGCTGCTTCCTGCTCGCCCGGCGACTGTAAAGAGGTCAGGCTCGGGCAGCCCCGTGAGTGGGCCGCAACCACACCTTCCCCCGTGAGGTCTGAATCCTAGCTTCAGGGCGGGGTCCTCCTCCAAATTTGCCCGCCTTGGGTTCCTCACCTTGGGGGTACCTTTAGGGTTTTCTTTGCGCGTTTAAAGTTTCTCTCCTTCCATAGCACAATAATTATTTTCTGTTTTAATTACTGTGTGGTTTCTGTCTCTTGGTTGGCCCAGACTGATGCAAA